AAATCTAGGCATGAAAGAGAAAGAAATGATTCAGTGGTGTCAAGTCAATGGCAAATCAGGCTAGATTTAATGACTTGATGTGGGTTGAAATTTTTATTCTTCTGATTAAATGTTTGACAGTTTGCATCCATTATAGTTAAATTGTTGTGTTGAAATATTGTCTCACTCATCAATCAGCATAAATCTTGATTTATGAACATTATTTACTCTGGCATATGGCAGGTTTTATGCATCAGATGCCCCTCCATATGCAACCCAGCACTGGGAAACACCCATACACTCTCTAATACATGCACACACATGCATACACTACAGACAACTTTGTTCACCAAATTCACCAAGAGTATATCAGAAACTAAATTAACTAAGTTAAATGTAAAACCATTAGTTAAATTAATGTTAGATGGCAATATTCAATAATTTCTTATATGTTGTTTCTGAAACTGTGGCTAATTTTCTCTAATCTCTACACTCTAAATAATAGGTCTCTAACTCAATTCCTGGAGGGCCGCAGCTCTGCACAGTTTTGCTTCAACCCTAATCAAACACAGCTGATCCAAATTAATCAAAGTGTTCAACACTAATAGATACTATTATGCAGGTGTGAGTTGGAGGTGGTTGGAGCTAAACTAAGCAGAGCTGAGGCCCTCCAGGTATTGAGTTTGAGACCACAGCACTAAATCCTGAAAAAAGGCCCACAACAGTCATAACGCCACATATCTCCTACATCAGCCTCCAATTATTGCAAATCCAGTTTTATTTTTTCCAGCTGTTTTAGCATTGTATAACTATAAATAACAAAACATTAAATTATTATTATAAAGGAAACAATTATAAAAACAAACATTAAACAATGAGTTTCTCCAGTGATTTGCACTGTTAATGTTAATTTTTAATGACTGCTTAAAGATTTTAAACTTTTTACCTGAACATTTCAATTCTATATTGTTTTCTTGAGAGCACTGTGTGTCATTTGTGGTTGAACATAATCCAACATGAGACTCATTTCCTCTGCAGTGAATCTCTTGTGTCCACATCTGAGTGTCTCCTTTGTCAAAAGCAGCAGCTCTCAGCACCTGTACAGGAGCCCCACAGTCCAGCTCTCTACACACAACCTCTGCATCCTGCTGGTCAAAGGCAGCGTCACACACTGACATCCACGTCTGATTATGAAAGATCTCCAACCTTCCAGAGCAGTGAGAACCTCCAACCAGTCTTACACCTAAAGAAAAATAACAAAATAATAAATGATGATGCTTCTTAATAAGATTTAAATTCTCCCAGAGCACACATGAGATCAATCAGCAAGCGTTGACCTTCTCTAAGTTAAGGTTTATAGATTTATTTATAGAAGACAGTCAGTCACAATAATTCAATTTAGTGTTTAATAAAATACACTGTTTATGAGATGATAAAAAACTTTTCATGATTTAATTTTTGTTAAAATTATATTTTTTTAATAGCAATTTATGTGTAGATGTAAAAAAAAAAATAAGGGATGCATTAACAGAATGTTGTATTGATCAGCTCACCTGAGCAGATGACCCCAGCATCTTCACTATGACCACAGTCATGTTCACCCCATCCTCCTGAACTACAGTTCTTCACTGTTGACTCTAATCCACCACAGGCCACATCATCCATCCAGATTTGACCTGATCCTTGTCCAAATAAAGCTTCACCCAGAGTCTCTACAGCCTCTCCACACTTCAGTTCTCTACACACCACTGCAGCATCAGTCATATCCCAGTCATCATCACACACTGTGCCCCACTGACCATCATGATGAACCTCCACTCGACCAGCACAGGCACTATGACCACCAACCAACCTCACAGTCGGAAAATCTGTACAAAAAGAAAAGAAATTAAGCCAGTGAGCAGTAAATCAACACCTTATCAACTACAATTAAAACTTTACCTTTGAGAATACTTGAGAATGTACATTTTAAATGTCAATTTAAAGTTTACTTAAATACTAAACTAAACAACTAAAGTCGGGGAAAAGCTACGCGCTCCTCTAAGAAAGAAATTTTCACATCATCTTATTATTACAATGGTTGTCTATAAATGCTTTACTCAATTATTAGAGATAATTTATAGTTTTGCTTTTTATATATTACACAGATATTAAATTTAGTTTCTTGTATTGTGAGACCATCAGAGATAAACTGCTCATTTAATTGAACCATTTGAACTAATGTCAATTTTGTACTTACCAGATGTGGTTATAGTAATTATATTTAAGATTAAAAGAAGTCCCTCCATCATCTGCTCCTCTGCTCAGACTGAAGAAAGTGTCTCCTGTGAGCTCCTAAAGAGAGAGAGCAAGAGAGACTCACAGCTGCCAATGACTCTCACTGTTACCTTATTAGACACAACAGAGGAAATCATCAAACACAATCAGTGACAAATCAGAAAGCAGCATTTGGATTTTCTCCATATATATCAATAAAGTGTGAGCGCTGATGAGCGGGACTCCTCCTTCAGCGTCAAGAAGAGACACTTCACTGAGGACAGACTCGTGTCAGTCAGAAATCAGCCTGGAGATAAACACACTAAACTTAAAGCAGATAGAGAAACACTGAAGATTATATGAAGCAGCAAACATAAAAATAATATAAAATAAGAAATAAATGCAATAAATAAATAATTATTATAAATGATAATTAAAACTTATTATTTTCTTTATTTTATAAATGTAGGATTTTTTTAAATCAAGGCTCAGGTGTTATGAAAAACTGACATATTAATACTATTAAATGTTTTCAGGCATTTTTCCATAAAACAATTAAAACATTTTAAATGTCTAGTTTTTACATTTGAATACCACTGATAATCTTTTGATTTGACTTCTATCATAAAAATGAAATAAGTCTGTAACATCTGTAAACATAATAATGATGAACTACTTTCTAAATAAATAGTTAAACCACTTAATTTTACTTTTATGTAAATTTTATTACAATTATTCAATTACATGCTGAAAATATTGCACCATGCAAAGACATATTATCAATAATAATAATAATATCAAAGAATATTTGCTGAAATGCACTCTTATCAAAATTGAATGAAATAATTGGACAAACACTAAAATACAAAAACTTACATTTATTATTGAAATTTGCAAAGCACATAAGATTATACATATATAAAATCAAATTAGATAAAACAGCACTTATGCAATAGTAAAATAAGAAACTCTCAGTATCTCCAGTAAATATAATGTGATTTCATCAACAGAGGCAGTGGGTGTGGCCACTGAGTCATATGACCCCTCCCTCATTAGTTGATTCCTCCTCTACATCATCATAGTCTGTAATTGAAAATAAAATCAAGCTGATAGTTTTCAATCTTTTAACTGCATCATTATTTAGATTAAAATGAGTTTAAAAGAGCAACATAAAACAGATATAAGATATAAAAACGTACCCAAGAGGTTTCTCTCATCTTCATTGTTGTTCTTCACATCATCATACTCTTCCTGATCTCCCTCTGACGCAATAAAACCACATATTATAATTTGCTTTCACTGAATTCTTTTCCCACATCATGACTGTCTGAGACTTTTACATTCAGCACTGATAAAGCCACGAGGATTCACTAATGCAAAAATGCATGTTTAGTATTAGCTGTATTATCTGTTTGACTCACCTGTTAAATGATCAAGATTCTGTCCATTAATAATTACATCATCATAATACTCTGGATTGTCCACTACACATACAGGAAAATATAAATAAAAAAATGTTACAACATTATATCTGTACTGAGCATCACTTTAGATGAATAATGTTAAACATACACAAACAAGAAATAATTAAACAGTAAAAACCTTTTTTAATAACAGAGGTCTCTTCACTCATCATGACATCATCATAACTCTCAGGTCTGTCTTCTACAAATTTAGAATTTAGCATGAGACATCGTCACTCACATAATGATAAATATAGAAATCTTCACAAATACAATATATTAAATAGTTGAAATATGTGATCCTATTAGAGAATAAGTGAAGGATACCTGTCTCTAGATCTGGCTTCAAGCCGTCAGTGATGACATCATCATAATATCCTGGAGTGATTTCCTTCACCATATTTTCTGCATTGAAAGTGTTGCATATTTAGAAATATTTTTGGAAATATTCTACAGATTTGCTGTTGCAGGTCTTACGATAAAGAATCGTAAACATTGAATGATGTCACTGACCTTCTAGACCACTGTTGCTGGTGACATCATCATAATAAGCCGTCTTGAACTCTTTTTCTAATATGTGAATATTTGAGTCATTAATCACACAGTTTAGTGGTGGAATCATATATTTGACAGTGGTATGAATTTTGTTTGTTATATAACACTGTGATGATGAATCAAATGATTTGTTTTAGCTCTTAATTCGAGTATATTTTCACTCTCTAACCTGAGAGAAACTCGTCTGCATCTTCATACCCAGATTGCAGTTCTTCAGAATTGAATCTCCCTGTTGAAGGAGGAAGAACAGTCAGAAACAGGATTTAGTATTATAAGGTGTTGTGTGAGTGACAACATGCAAAAACATAAACATTATTTTATTATAAAACCACTGAATTCATAATTCACACAGATCTATTAGTAAACACACATTAACCCACTCCTGCCTTCGGGAAATATGCTCAGAAAGACACACACACACACATAAAACTGCACCTGCACATACCAACATATGAACCTCTTCTTATTACTCCTAAAAATACACACAGGAAGAGACTCTTACTGGCACGTGCACACACACACACACACACACACACACACACACACACACACACACACACACACACACACACACACACACACACACACACACACACACACACACACACATGTAAACATGCACCTGCAGCTCTGTGGTTTTCTGTCAGGAATTCTGTGGTTTAATGCAGGAGGTTTATCAGGCTAATAATAAATGAACATCAACTGTCTACAGACTCACTTATTAATCATATTAAATGACATTAATGCTCATGTCTCACCCCTGTGAGTGAAGTGTTGGTGTTTGTGCTGAATCTCCTCATAAACGGCCTCAGTGGTGGTTCTGTGTCTCCTCTTAGAGAGAGCTGTGAGTGTCGACACACAAACCTGCTGTCAGTTCACAACACAAGACTGATCACACACTGAAGAAGACACAATATGACAGTCTCTGGATCTCTCCTACCTCTCCTCATCACTCTGTTCTGCTGAATCAGTATAAGCAGCGGCACTAAGAGCAGTAAGAGCACAACTCCCAGTACAATCAGCAGCACTGGGGGGACTGGGAGAGTTTCTGGACCAGTTTGTGGAGGAGAGACTAATCTTGAGCTCACTGTCTGAGAAACTGCAGCAGAAGATGATTCTGATGTGGCAGGAGTAGTGGACACTGATATATCCGGCAAGTCTATTAAAACAGATTCAAAATCATGCAAATCATTCATTTTAACATGAAAACACTGATAGCACTAAAATGATTTAAAAATCTGTCAGTGACCTGCACAGGTGAGTCCAGCGTGCTCTTTGTGGGAGCAGTCAGTGTGGTTGTTCAGGGAGAGAGGACAGTCCCACAAGTGAAGCTCATTCCCTCTGCACTGGACTCTGTTCAGCCACACAACACCTTCACCAGCACCAAAGGCTGAATTCCCATCAGCCCTCAGTGCTGCTCCACAACCCAGCTGCCTGCAGACCACCTGAGCATCGCTGATGTCCCAGAGATCATCACAGACTGAGCCCCACACAGCGTTATGATACACCTCCAGCCTCCCAGAGCACCGGCCATCCCCTCCACGCAGTCTGAGAGGAACATGAGCTGAAACACACATCAACATCACTGACCTGCAGCAGCACAATATTTACAGTAAAACTAAATATAGATAACTGCTTAAATCTGTGACAAATTTTAAAATGCAAATAATGTCTTACACTATTTTTTACAGGTTTTGTAGGTAAAAGCATTAACCAATCAAAAAATTACTTGAGCACTGTCTCTGGTGAGTAGATGCGGAACATGTCAGATGACTCCGAGGGGACTCATCACTCTTCTTAACTGAAATAAAATATGAAACAATCAAGGCTCTTTCCACCTAATGTTTCTTTACTTACATATAATTGAGGATTTTGCCCTTTAACTGTTCCCCCATTTTGTGAGTTCACTGTATCAATTATGATTATTGCCTATGATATATAGTTTTTTTTATAAACTCATCATTCATCATTCATTCAAGTTCAAGTGCATGAAAATCAGTCTATACAAAAGTGCAATTTCCACTTTTTCCTTTTTAAAACATTTTAATGAAAGTAATTACACACTTAAACCCTAACCCTAAATAATCTTCCACTGGTGACAGTTAAGAGGATAAGGAAATATGTCTACTAATGAGACCAAATCAATGAAATATCTCAATAAATCAATTAAATGTCTCACCTGAGCAAGTAACATTGGCCACCTCATCTTCATCACAGTAGTTTTGACCCCAGAGTGAAGATGGACAATGCCATAAAGTAGAGTCATGTAGTCGACATTTAACTTTATCAAGCCAGTTTCGAGCTGATTTCAGTCTTGATGTTGAATCAGACAAAACTCCAGATCTTCCACAGTTCAGCTCCTGACAGATCAGACTCACTGTGTCTCTGTCCATCTGATTCCAGCACACATTTCCCCAGGATCCATTGTAGAAAACCTCCACATTCCCTTCACAGCCCTCAGTTAACCGGATCTCTTTAAATTCTGGATAGGAAAAAAATTTATGAAAAAAAAAAAGAATTTTAAATTACCTAATCTGGCCATATTTAACCTGTGAATATATTAATATATTTTATACATTTTATTTAAAAAAATTACAGCAGCATGTTCACCAGAGCAGACGACTCCTACATCCTCCTTGTGTAGACAGTCATGTTTCCCCCAGCCTGGAGAAGAGCAGCTCCACAGGGACGTCTCATTCCCCTCACACTCCACCTCATCCAGCCATATGGGTCCAGAACCAGGACCAAACCAGGCTGGTACCTGCTGGTTACTGAGGGCCACTCCACACTGCAGCTGTCTGCACACCACATGGGCATCTTTAATATCCCAGGAGTCGTCACACACTGTCCCCCATGAGCCGCTGTGAAAAACCTCCAGCCTCCCTGCACAGTCTCCCCCAGAACCCACCAGCCTGATGGACCCGCGGCCTGATATTCAGAGAAAGAGAAACACATTATTGATCAGGAACAACTCCAGAATCTGCCCAGATGTTGTTGTTCTCACCAAGGCAGGTGATTGACAGCTGTTGTGTGGAGCTGCAGTTGAGAGTTTGTGGAGAGCTGCAGTTCCCCAGATGAGCTTCACTCCCAGAGCACTGGAAGCCCATCACACACTCATGACTGTGTTCAGGACTGGATGAAGAGGAGCCGGAGAAGTTGAGCACAGAGCCACAGCCCAGCTGTCTGCAGACCACAGAGGATTCAGTGAGACTCCAGGAGTCCAGCAGAACCTTCCTCCAGACCTGCTGGATCAAAACTTCCACCTGCCCCTCACACTGACTCTCTCCAGACAACCGCACCAGACCCTCATGAAGAGCCAGAGACGAGCCTGGGGACAAACATTAGGCAGTTTATTAATATATCCCAATAAAACTTATGTACATTTATTATTTATTTTTATCATATAAAATGTCCTCACTAGAGCAGATGACTCCAACATCTCGTCTATGAGAGCGTTCAGCTCGACTCCATGAAGAGATTGAACATTCGGAGAGTTTTGTTTCATTCCCGTCACAATCAAACACATCAGCCCAGATTTCACCACTTCCCTCTCCAAACCAGTCTGATCCCACAACAGACACAGCAATCCCACAATTCAGCTGTTTACAGAGGACACTGGCAGCTCTCATATCCCAGCATGCATCACACACTGTGCCCCATTTATTGTAGTACTGATGTTCAACTCGACCAGAACAGAAGTCAGGACCATTGACCAGTCGAACATCAGTATAACCTACACAGAGAACAAAGAACTCAATACTAAACAGTATGAAACAAGCTAAATTTTCATGTTTAATATTTGTTTATGATCATCTATATATTTATATATATATAAACATTACCAGAACATAACAGTCCAATGTATTTTTCATGGGTACAGTTGTGTTTAAGAGAAGATGTTGGACAGAAAGATATATAAGACTCATTTCCTGTGCAGTGAATCTCTTGTGTCCACATCTGAGCGTCTCCTTTGTCAAAAGCAGCAGCTCTCAGCACCTGTACAGGAGCCCCACAGTCCAGCTCTCTACACACAACCTCTGCATCCTGCTGGTCAAAGGCAGCATCACACATTGTGTGCCATTTGTTCCCATGAAATACCTCTAATCGTCCAGAGCACAAGTGAGATCCAACAAGTCTAGAATATTTATGATCTGTAAAAGTAAAAGCAAAAGTATAAGGCCACCAATTAATTTGTTGTTGTTTTTAACTGTCAACAAATTTCACCACAAGTATTGCAATGCCAGTAATTTTTGACCTTGTGTTTTTTTGGTCCTCAAGAGGAAAAATATTTTATAAGTTATCAATAATAAAGTATTGTGAAAATCTGTATATCATAAAAGTGTGTGTGTGTGTGTGTGTGTGTGTGTGTGTGTGTGTGTGTGTGTGTGTGTGTGTGTGTGCAGCTCTGTAAAAACAAAGAGACCACTTGTTACACAATGTTATCATTTGCTTTTTGGATTTGCAATGAATACGTACAGAAAATAACAATAGGTCAGTATAAAATGTTCCATGTCTTCAGACTATAAACAAAATGGAAAAAATGCAGTATGCAGTATGTATATAACTTTTTACTCAAAACCTACCTATGTACACTGGAGTATGGCTGAAAATGACAATAAGCTTTGTTTTTATTTCAAAGCATGTCTTTCTCACCAGAAGGTTTACATTGAAATCCTAAAGGCCAAAATTGTTGATAAAGATCAGAACCTGTAGCCCAAGATGTGCATTGATTGATGGTCTGGGAGCTGTCAAATCTTTAGTGCAGTAGAGAAAGCTCCACACTAAACTGATAGGTGAGGTCGAATGTCTCAGTTTTAATTTTAGTCACATTGTAACTGTTAGATAGCAACTGTTGCTCTGTATTTTTATTATTTTCTCTTTTTTTTATGTCTGGCCTTTTTACTGGCTCTCTAGCTCGGTTCTTTGTTCTTGGGGCCCTGCTCTTTTCTAGCTCTCTCTCTCTCTTTGTCTGTCTCTGTCGCTCTGTCTCCCCCTTTCTCTTAGGTAACTTTCTAAATTCAAGCTCACCCACTTACCTTAAGCTTAGTTCCTGATTTATCAGAAGTTACCACTGTCGAACGAACCACTAATTATTATGGCATATGTTTTATGCAGTGGATTCCCTTAAAGCTACAACCAAACAAACAGAATACAACTAAAAATAAACTCGTAAATCTCCAGTTCTGGGAAACCTATATTCACACACACACACACACACACACACACACACACACACACACACACACACACACACACACACACACACACACACACACACACACACACACACACACACACACACACTCATACACTATGGCCAGTTTAGTTTATTCAATTTACCTATATCAATTCATATGTTTTGGACGGTGGAGGAAACCGGAGCACCCGGAGGACACTCTTGCTTTTCTATTCACACTTATTCCCATTGTTGCAAAAAGTGCATGGTAATACTCAAGAAATGTACAGTTTTACAACATTATGTTAAATTTTTTTCTTTAGTCATTTGGCAATCCTTCAGAACTACAATTTTAGGGGGTCTCTTAATTAACAGTCTAGGAATGTGACATGTTTTTCTATAACTAAAAATCAATATAACAAAAATGTGATGTGATGTGCTTATTGTTAAATTATTTATTACAATAACTATACATTCCATAAAAATATTATTTTTTAAACAGATTCAACAGGCTTGCCTGAACAGATGACTCCAGCATCTTCCCCATGACCACAGTTATGTTCACCCCATCCTTTTGACGTACAGGCTTTCAGTGTTGACTCTGATCCACTACAGTCCACTTCATCCATCCAGATTGGTCCCGATCCTTGTCCAAAACGAGCAATACTCAAGGCCTCTATTGCATCTCCACAGTTCAGTTCTCTACACACCACTTCAGCATCAGTCAGATCCCATTCATCATCACACACAGTTCCCCACTGACCATCATGAAAAACCTCTACAGTCCCCCTGCAGGGACTGTTACCACCAAACAACCTCACAGTCTCAAAATCTGTACATGATAAAAGGGACTTAGTTAGTAGCAACATAACAGCTTTAAATAACCTGTATAATATTACAAATTTAAGACATTTATGCATCTGGTGTCAATAACATTACACACAAATATTAATATATATTGTTTGAATGTGGAAAATTAAAGCAGGGGCATAAGCTGAATGCTTCTCAGCACAAGAAAAAAATGCAAATTGCATTGCCATTAATACACTGGCTGTCCTTTAAGCGATTATAGCACATTGTTGATAATTAATAGATCTAGTGTCTTAGATTCTCATAGTAAAGATATGACATATGCCTCTATTCAGTTTTTAGACATATAAGCCCATCAGAGATAAGCTACTCACTGGGTATAAATTACATCAATATTTCATTTAACCTCATTGCTGCCTATTTTGCACTTACCAGATCTGGATATTGTGAGTATAGAGAGTAAAACAAGTGTCAAGCATCCATCCATCTTTTCTCATCACCCCGTCTGTCTTTCTCTGTGTGTTTGTCCTCTGCTTCTCTGCTCAGAATGAAGAAAGTGTCACTTGTGAGCTCCTAAAGAGAGAGAGAGAGACTCAC